AAAGTCAAAATTAAATGGCCTGATTGAATTGGCTAGTTTTAGAAAGGCTTTTAAAGAGTATTTGAAATAGGAGTTCAAATGCTGCTCTGTTTGAAAGATATTTTTAGAACGTTTTATCTTAACTGAAATTAAGAAAAGCTTTAAGAAATTTAGTGATTCACTTATTTGAAATTATTGTTACAAATTATGAAAGTATTCTTTCTTATATTAAAAAAAAAATGTTCCGTAAATTTTAAGAAACCCCAGTAAGTACAAGTTAAAGTTTAAGTTACAGTGGCGGCCTCATAGGAGGGTCGTCACAGCAAGTGAGAAAGAAAAAGTGTTTCGAGAAACATGTATTAAAAAAAGAATTAAATTGTAGAAAAGCCTTTCACAAAAAGGAAAAAATAGTGATGTTCTTTTGTAAATAAATAAGAACATATTTAAACAAAATTATTTTGGTAAGTGTAAAATGAGGAAAAAAAGTATTTAAAAAAAACACACATTGCACAAAAAATTTAACTGTAGAAGAACTTTGAAGGAGACGTTTTTGGCTCTTTTATATATGTTAAAATATAGATATGAATGTAGATATATTTTTCAGTTAAAAACTAAAAAAGATTATAGGATTTTTTTGTACTAACACCCCCTCAACTTTTTAAATTTGACAATTTGGTCACTATTTTTTTTTTCTTAGCAATTAATCCCTTCAACTTCAAAATCTTTGTAATTAAGGACCAATAAAAAATAATGTATTTTTTTTTTTTTTTACGATTTTGATCATAAGATGTGCACATGAGCATCTGTTGGGGGCAAAAGACAATTTCACAGCCCATTTGTTTAGTTATTTGATGTCAGAGTCATCTAATATATCCGAACACAATCAAATGTGATAAATAACTCTTTGTTTTCAAGTGTCAAATTACCCTCAAAAGATGTTACAAGTGTAAGAAATGATCTTCATTATCCTCAACAGACACTCACATGTACGTCACGTAAGCAAAATCGTTAAGAAAAATAGATATTTTTGATCGGTCCTTAGTTACAAAAATTATCATTATATTCTTAAAATTGTTAATTATAGTCTTGAAGATTATCATTATATTCTTAAAATTATTAATAGAATTTCTTTCGGTAATTATCTTGGGATTAATCATTATGATTTAGTTCATCGTATCAGTGTGTGTAAAGTGTACACTCGCATAGAAAATTAAACGGTAGATTGTAGGACACAATTAGGGGTGTTCATATATATTTGAGCAATCGATGAAACCAATAAGTCCAATATAATCTGATTTATATTTAGCGGATAAACGACCTTAATTGGGTTAGATTGGATATGATTTTTTTTCTAAAAAAAAACTAACTTGAATTGAATTAGATGTTAATTTTAACTTCGAACACAAAATCCAAACCGGTCCAACTTCTATATATTATATAAATATATATTTGTATTATTAGTTCAAAATTTTAATTCTATTTTTTCCCAGACACTTTCTTTCTATGTTTTTCATTTTTTTCCTAAATATTTTATATTTATTAGTTTGTAGCTTTGTTTTCATTTCTTTTAAGTTGTTTGTTAGTTGTCCAATTAACTTTGAAGTTTGTAATCTGGAGTTTATATGCTTTTTTTATTTATAGATGTTAATTCTCTCTCTTTGTTTCAACTCTAGGATTTAGATTATGTCAAAAAAATCTAACAAATAGGTTAAATATGAAAATATGAAAATGTACGAAAAGCTTAAGCAGAACCAATTAGTCCAGTCCAATTCAATACAAACTAACCTCAATCGGATCAAATTAGATTGGATGATAAACTAATGATTGGATTAGATTGGATGTAATTTTTAAAAGAGTTAAACTCTCTGTTAGTCACTGAACTTTGAGCATTGTGACATTTTAGTCTCTGAACTCTTAATTTATGCATATTTAGTCATTGAATTTTTATTTGTCGAAAGTTTTGATTGTTCACAGTAAAATTGACAAATAATTTCTGAAATTTAGCCTAGATAATCACTTCATTATCGCATAATAATAAAATATTTTACATAAATAGTTTCAGTATGTATAAAATATTATAGTTTTTAATAGTTTTAATAGTAACAACGAGAAAGCTTGGATATAACGTAATTCTTTTCATAAGATTTTAACACGTTACGTGATGTACACAAGTTTATTTTTATTAAATTTTAAAAATTATTCATCAATTTTACTGTCAATGACTAAAACAGTCAAAAAATGAAAGTTTATGTACTAAATAGGTCTAAATTAAAAATTCAAGGACTAAAGTGTCACAATGCTCAAAGTTCGGAGACTAACAGAGCTATAAACCCTTTTTAAAAAAAAATCTTTAATTAAATTAGTTGTTATATAACCAAAATAAGTTGGATTGGATTGAATTGGATGAACCTGCTTACAAATATGGTTAGGCAGATTAGCCTTCCGGTTAATCTGTTTTCTTTCTTGAAGCTTAATACGCGTTTGATGGTTTGCCATAATTTTGACAAAGACATTTTTGCATGAATTGACAAACAAATTTAGTAAATGAATACACAATATCCTTAATCTGAAATAAATATCCGTATTGTAATGGGGATTTAATTACAGGAGTTTTAGTGCGTAGTATTATCGTTCACACGTAATGGGTTTGTGTAAATTAATTTATTAGTTGTATTCTTGGATTAGGGATAAACATTTTACTCGCAGTTGCGGGTACTTACTCTAAATAGAGCGAATATGAGGATTATTAAATAGGAATGAGGGCAGATATTAAGGTTTATAAATTCCACGAATCAAAAACAGAGTGAGGGCGGGAAAAGTGTCCTCACTCCGCTCCCGGCCCCATATACATATACATATAATTCTAAAAATATTTTTAATACAAATTTATACTATATATTATAATAGTACTTATAAAATATGGGTTTAAAAAAATTTAAAAGTATTATACTATATTACCAACTTAAAAAACTCTAAGAATTTCTAAATTTAAAAGGTATTAATGTTATGATTATCAATTTTATATTTAATTTGTCACTATTTTTTTTCTTATTACGTAAATAGGCAAGGTACAGAGAAAGCCTCTCGATGGGAATTCTCCAACCCCGATCCCAATTCTGACCCCGAATACGTGAGTATGGAGGGCAAAGGTGAAAGCGGGGGCAAAAGTGGAGGAAGCATACCCGACCGCATTCTACCCGATGCTCATCCCTATCCTGGATGGTATTCAATAGATTTGGTTGCACTTTTTCCGTGAGTTATAACTTTTGAGAGGAATGATTGTTTTAACCCTTAACACTTTTTTTTCCCCGCATGCATAAACAATAAGCATTCTACGTTATGATGCCAATTAATTAGATGAACAAAGTATATAGTAAATTTACAGTAATAATTTTAATAAATAACAGACTTAAAATAAATAGCAGTAATTAAAAATTTATATGGTAAAAAAAATTACCAGTTAAAAGAAAATTTACGTGGTAAAAAATCTTTTTACTCATCGTAAATATAAATTTAGGCGATAAAATACTTTTTACCTACTATTTACTTCAAATATTTTAAATCTACTATTTATTTAATTTAATTTTAAAAATCTACTATTTACTATAATTTATTTATTTTTTTAATATACATGTTTCAGCAACATAAGTACCAGAACATACATAGCTGTAGTGTTCCACTCAAATCTGCAGTGTCCTAAAAGTTAATGAGCACTTGGAACAACGATTGGAGAAAAAATTTTTTTTTTTTTTTCCATCCACAATGCCACATGATCAAAATTGGCGGATTTGGTAAAAATTTTTTTTTTCCATCCACAATGCCACATGATCAAAATTGGCGGATTTGGTGTCTGCCAAATTTATTTATGACTAAATTAGTTTGACAAATTCTTGATTTATCAAATTTACCACATGATTTATCCATAATCAAATTCAGTAAATCCTAGATTTATTGGATTTATTTACTCATGACTGAATTTGGAGATGATGTTTGTGTAGTAAGGATGATGTAGGGCTTCTAAATAGGGAAAATTTGTGATCACGTCTTTTTTTTTTTGTTTTTTGAGGTTCAAAATATTAAATAAGTACATAATTTAGTTAATTACTTAATAATTACCTTTATGATTTTTTTTTTACTACAAGAGCAAGTCAAAAGTTATATACTTAATTCAGATAAATAGGTGAAAACAATGCTCTAGTAATTTTTACTTAATAAAACTCAAATTTGAATTTAGTAAATCTTTTATTTTCAGCCAACTCAAACTTGAATTTACTATTATAAATTCTTTAATTACCAGATAAATAATTTGTAAATATCAAATTTACCAGGTAAGTCGTTTATTTACCAATCGACGGTTTATCCATAAGTATCTAATTTACCAGGTAATAAAATCAGATTTACTAATTAATAAATTTGATGAAACCAGATTGACTGATTAATACATTTGGTAAATCCCAATTTACCAATTAATGAATTCGGTAAATACGAATTTACTATTAAAAACATGATAGATATTTGACAATATAGTCAAAGCAATAATAATTCAAAAAAAAAATGATAGGCATATTCTCATCAAGAAAAAAAATCCTTAAAAAAAAGAAAAGGATAGAAATTAAAGAACATTCAAAAAAGAAAAGTTCCAATTGGTGGGTTATCTTGGCCGGATTTGGTAGTTGGCGTGGATAATGTTTTCTAGTCCCAATTAACGCAACTAACCATGGTTAAATACCAACCTTAGTTAGTAAACCAAACCCTAGAAAAGTACTACAGTCCTCTACGCATAATTGCTTGTAGTATATTATTGATCTCTCTCTAGAGAGAGAGAGAGAGAGAGAGAGAGATCATAACATAGAAGAAGATGATGGGATCTTTGGCACTGGGATCAGTCTCTTTCTGGGGCAGTAGTAGAAGTGTTATAAAACGTGATTATGATCATGATCATGGTCAAGATCAAAAGATGAAGATGAAGATGATGATGATGAAGAAGAGATCAAGGGTGGGGATGGCGGTGGCGATGGCGGGTGGGGCCAAGTTCAAAGGGACGCAGATGAGAGAGAAGCAGCTGAACGAGATGATAGAGAAGAAGGTGAAGGAAGCAACGGAGGTTTGCGGGGGAGACGAGAAATCGGCGGAGTGCAAGGTGGCGTGGGACGAGGTGGAGGAGATCAGCCAGGCCAAGGCTGATTTCAGGCTTAAGCTTCAGAAGGAAGATCCTCTTGAGTCCTTTTGTCAGGAACATCCTGAGACTGATGAGTGTCGTCTTTATGATAATTAATCACTTCCAATTTATCAATTTCCTCTTGTCATCAATACTATCAATATCGTTTCTTTTTTATATATAAATATATATATATATATATTTATATATGATATGCTTAGTTTTTGTAGTTTTGAATCGTTTGATTAGATAGGAATGTGATTGTATTATGACAGAATGTAAATTTAATGAAATTTATATGTCAAATCTTCTTCGTTGGTGTTGTGATTATTGCTGTTTATTATGTTTTGTTGGAATGTGATTGTATTATGACACAGAATGTAAATTTAATGAAATTTATATGTCAAATCTTCTTCGTTGGTGTTGTGATTATTACTGTTTATTATGTTTTGTTAAGTTTAAGTGTGTGAAAATCTAAACATGTCAAGATAGACGAAAAAAATTGTACATGTACATGTATAAAGATCTCAGCTGTTCAAAACTTGATAGTGATTAATTTCCCCAAAAGAGAACTTTTCAATATAATATATATATGTATATATATATATTTCTCAACAATTATTGAAGCAAGAAATTCCAAGAACCATCTAAGCTCAATAGCTTATAATGATAACGTTCAGTCTCTGCAAAACAAATCAGCCCTGCATACAGGATTTTGATTTTCTTTCTTCTTTAAGAACCAAACAAGAAAGAGAATACATAAGTCAACCACTTTCAAATGTAAACGGGAACATTAAACGTTCTTCTTTAGCATCTAATAGACGAAAACTACATCTTTTTGTCATTCTCAGCTAGCATGACACAATCATTGTTAGCATTACAAAGAACATTTCAAAACTAGTCTGAAATAGCAAATACATTAAAGAGAAGATATAGGAAAGGATAACAAAACTGAAATAACGCTTCTTTTATTTTACTCTTCCCCACTTTCTACATCATCCCCCTCTCTTTTGACATCAACGGTGAAGGGATACTCTTGATCACAGCCCAGATAGGAATCACACATGAAATAAAGGGTGTACGACTTCTTTCCGGCGTCCAAAGGAGCCGTGAAATCAAGCTTAACCTTCGACTTCCTTTGCAGAGAAACCCTTTTGATGGCAAGCAAAGAGTTACTTTTGGTATCACCAACAACAAGCCACCACCCTTCTTCTTTGGCCTTGGGATACCTGGGATTGTCCACGGGCCCGACCTCCGTCCTCCCCTCAAGATCCCTCTCGAGAGTGACTTGCAGTGTAACAACATCTCCTGCTCTCACGTTATCGCTCTCCAACACCTCGTACACCATGTCAATGTTGGGAAAACGGTTGCAAAACCTCGCGATATCCAGCAACTGCAAATCCGTCATCTGAAGCAGCTCGCGCCTGTCGCCATCGTCCATTTCCACCAAATCAAACACTGTCTCTATACCTCTCTCTTGACATCTCTTGGCCAACTCCTTTGTGAAGTGGGGAAGCTGTAGAAGCATGGAATCACGCTCCCACATGCCCTGTGTCACCATCTGGCTAACTTCCATTGCAAGAAGAGCTAGGTTCAGCCAGCCATTGCTAGAAATAACATCAACCATTGCTTGTAGCAGCCTGCTCGCAGAAAGGAGCACCTCTCGTTGGTCAAGCGCCAGATTCCCGCCCACAGAATGCCTCGAGAAGTGGGCTTGAAGTAGAGCGTTTGCTTTCACATGAGGATCCCCGCAATTTGGACTTTCAAAGGAGAATCTCTGATGATTGATCAGCCTTCGAACCACATCTTCCTCCCCAGGTCGTACCGGAAGCTGTGCATACTCTGAAGCTGAAGCAAGAATCTCTATAAGACCCTTCATCTTTGTCTTGGAAGACAAGGAAGAACTGAAACGTTCTATAGTGGCATAGCTGATATAATAATACGAGGCAATTAGGCCGAGATTCGAAGGAGAAAGGTCCATGTCATCCTCGATAACCACGCACTTGCTTGCTTCCAAATCATTGAGGGTATGTTCTACAAGCTCGGAGAGGTGGTCAGAAAGATGCCTGTGGCTAACTCCCTGAATATTGTAATAGTTGGGATTCTGCGTTAGCCTCCTGTACATAAAAGTCCATGTAAGATAATCCACAGCGTCTTGCTTGTTCTCAATAATTCCAGCAACAATTTCCGCATTCAGATTATCATGTAGGTAGTGGTGAAAATGGCTTTCAACCGGGAAAGCTTCATACAAGAATTTCTTGTAGTACTCTTTACGAGGTGCGTGGCAGAGGATGACGCATTTCCCGGAGTTATCTAGCAAAGGACGACTAGCATGACCCATCATCTGCAACAGATCAGTGACAGGGTAATCCGTGTGGATATTTTCCCGGCCATCATAATACTGTGTTCCCATCACAACCACCAAATGAGCTGACAATGGCACCCCCCAACACATTGAACTACTCATGACACACACTTGAATCCTTCCAGCTTCGAAAAGCTGTGACACAACTTCTTGATCCAAACTGGATAAGCCCTCATGCAAGTAGCCAACCCCATGACGTAAAGTGGCTTTCAATATTTCTTCATGGACTCCATCAACAAGCGGCTCAAGATCTTTCAATGACTGCAACAGAAATGGTGTATTTCCGCTACTGTCTACTTGTGAGTAGGCCACCAGATCCTCAGCTGTGAGACGGACATGCTTCCTAGTAGGAACATATACAATAGCCGGTTTGCCATCCTTGGCATGCTGGACGATTGCCGTGTATGTCGGTTTTGTCATCGCTTGCATTCTCGCTTCAAAATTACCCGCGGATGTATCCACACCCTGTATATGTATTTCAAGTGGCACTGGACGCACACCGGGAGGAAAATTGAAAAGGCCATGAGAGGTAGCACCTATCCATTCCCCAAGATCCTTCGCATTTGCAAGAGATGTGGACAGAGCAACGATGCGAATCTTGTTTTCAACCTGACTAGCTATATATCTCATTCTAGAAACTATGACCTCCAAGATCGGACCAACTTGACCCCCAATCAAGTGAAGTTCATCAATAATAAAGAGACTGACCTGTTGAACATGCTTGCGTTGTTTCCAGCGGCGAGATAAGGCATCCCACTTCTCTGGAGTACTGATGATAATTTGACCTTTCTCGAGCAGTTTCAAGTCCGTTGCAGTTTCCCCGGTTAATTGAACAATGCGCATCTTCAGATGCTCTCCAAACTTCTTCTCCCAATCACGATAACGTTCCTTAGCAAGAGCTTCAATAGGTGCAATATACACCACTCGCATACTGTCAGCCCCCTTTTGGTGATTCCTTAATATGGCAAACTCCGCACAAATGGTCTTCCCGCTCCCTGTTGGCGCAGCAACCAAGACATTGTCATCTGAATTATACAGAACGGTGAAAACCTGGGTCTGAACAGGATTAAAGTGTTTAAAATCCTTGTAAAGATCCTCATATGACGAATTTCTCAAAGCAGACACAGGCAACGGCTGCAAATCCAACAACTCTGTTGGGGGAGGATACTTTTCTGGTAAGATGAGGTGTCTGAAAGAAACAGGCAAAACAGTTTGTGACCCAAGCCACCTATCCGACACAACACGAATGAAGTACTGTGGTGGCAGAGGTTCATAAATTGGAACTGTAAAATTCAACGTGTGGTCCTCATCAATGTATTGCTTTTTCAGCATAAAATATTCATGATGGAGAATATACTCGCCATCATTATCCTCCACAATGACCCAAAAGGGCTCCACATATCCATGAACTTTGTCCTCCCATTGGAAGTCGGGTGTTATTGTGAGCTCAACCCTCAAAACAGTGCGAGTTATTGGCTGCACATGGGCCGCAAGGTCTAACTTGGGAAATTGATGAATAAACTTGTGGAGCGTTCTACCCATCTTTGGAGCTCGAATCAACTCCCCAAGCTCTTGAGATGAGAGGTCATAGTACCTTTCCCAGGCCAAGTCCTTCTTTTCCAACTTCATCAAAACATCATTTGCTATTCCATGAAATTGGCGAAGTGGTGTCTGGACACTCCACATTCTCTTGTTAACCATCTTGAACAAGTTCAAAGCCTTTTCTGCTACTTGTGCCCATCCTCGTTTCACAACGATTTCAAAAAGAGCTCGAAGAAGTCGTCCCGCACTCTACAAATAGAAGAGGAAAAATGTAAGTACTAATATATAACCGACAAAAAAAAAAAGGCACGGTAACAAAACACAAACAAAAATGAAAACCACAGGCTTCATAAAATAAATAAATAAATAAAAGAAAGGATCTGGCAATGACCTGAGTGATGTACACCATGTCAGAAGTCAATGAAAGCCCTTCAAGCTTCAGCTGTGAAATATAAGCTTGCAGCAAAACATTAATCTTCGCACTGGGCTCTTCCAGGCTTTCTTTGATGGGAATGGGAACGCGATCCAAAAGCTTTGCTAGCTCCATTTTCTCATCTTGACGTACAGTTACATATTTAAATTCCTCGCTCAGTGAGAATAGACGACAAAGTTCCGTATCCCCCATTGTTGGCTTCAAATGCTCATTATATGTAGATATTGTTCCGTGCGTAATATAATAGTAACTAGCAATGCGACCCAAGTCAGTTACCTGGAAATACCCGCTTTTCCGATCATACTTGATCAAGTTGTTTTTGTCCAAAATTGTTGCAGCAGAATGAATCTGTGAATGATTGCAAACAATGTGAGAGCTTATATTTAGCAAAATGTGAAAGCACCTATTACATACAGAACCTAGGCCTAAAAAACGAAAATAACACTCGAGGAATTACTCATAGTCTTATCATATTTCAAGCAAAAAACTGAGCACATAAAAATGTAGAAACCGGGACTGAAAAATTTACTTACGAGTATCCCAAATATTAAACATAGAACCTAGGACTGAAAACTACGCTTAAAAAGTTACCGGTACAGACTACAGCCTTATCATATTCCTAGAAAAAGACTTCAAAACATATATTAGACATAGAACCTAGGAGAGAGGACTGAAAATTACACTAAAAAAGACTGAAAATTACACTAAAAAACTACTCATACAGCCATATCAAATTTCTAGCAAAAACGCGGTAAGGGATATTAAATAGAGAACCTAGGACTCAAAATATGCTCAAAAAATAACACCTGCAATCTTGTTATATTATAGCGAAAACGTAATACATATTAAAAATAGAATCTAGCACTAAAAATCACGCTTATGAAAAGACATACAGTCTCGTCATATTTCTAGAAGAAAACGTGACAACGCATAAAAAAATATAGAGCCTAGGACTGAAAAATATGCTTGAAAAATACTCATATTGTGTCCTACACTCCAAGCAAAAACGTGACAACTAATAAAATATAGAACCTAGGACTACAAAAATTATGCTTAAAAAGGAACATGAAACAAGAAACCGAATGATGAATCAAGAGATAATGATAACAATAACAAACAAATGATTGACAAAGACTTAATATACTGCAGGGCCCGTTTGTTTCATGCGTTTAAACTCATGGTTTTAATTCTGCTACAATGTTTTCCTCTCACAAAAAATTTAAATTTCAAATGTCAAAATCAAGAATCACTGGTTTGAACGCATGAACCAAACGGACCAGCAAAGACTAGAGAAAAAAGCTTACCAAATCAGCTCGGCGTTCGCGCAATGTCATGTCCCTCTTGAGAACATCAGCTTCCATACCATAAAGTGCAGGGTTCCGTACCATGCGAACATATAGATAAGTGTACCCAAGCCATTGAATAGCTTCTTCGGCATTCTGAACAGTTCCAAGCACAATTTCTGCGTTCAACTGATCAGCCAATTTGGAAACAAACTGACTTTCAATAGGAAGTTGTTGATTCATCAAAGAAAGATAGTATTGCAACTCAGTGTGACCGGTAATAATTATGCCCTCTCCATAAGAATCAAATTGGGGTCTTCCTGCACGACCCAGCATCTGCATGATATCCAGAGGACTGAGCTCAGTCCATGCTCCTTTTTCGGGGTCATAAATCTGGGTGCCTTTGATGATCACGGTGTGAGCAGGCAGATTCACACCCCAAGCAAGTGTTGCAGTGGAAACCAGAACTTGAATGTGGCCATCCGCAAAGAGCTCCTCAACAAGCTGCCGATCAGTTCTGTTCAAACCAGCATGGTGAATTGCAAAACCATAAGGCACCAAATCCTTGAGATCATTGTTCTTCACCAAATCCGTATGTGTGTGTAGGATTTCACGGCTAGCACTGTCTTCTCTCAAAAATCTACTGAGGGTGTCATTAGCAAGGGCAGTGTCTCTTATGGCACGAGCCGTTTTGGCGGTCTCTTTCCTTGAATGGACAAAGATGAGAACCTGATGCTTGCCCGCCACAGCCATTACCTTTTCATAGCAGAGATCATTCATTAACTGAAACCTCTGCAAGGGCTTTCTCACCTGAACTCCTATGTACTGCTGAGAAAGAGGGACGGGTCTATAACTGTTGTCAAAATAGAAAAGTCCCTTCTTGTGATCAACCCGTAAAAACAGCGCCACGTCTTCGTAATTCGGCAGCGTCGCAGATAAGCCTACTAACCGAATATGTTCTTTCGTGGTTTCAATTTGCCTAACAGTCCTAGCAACAATACTTTCGAGCACAGGACCTCTATTATCATGAAGAAGATGAATCTCATCAATAATCAAAAGTTTCACAAGTTGGGTATAAGTACGGTCACCCGACTTCCTTGTTATGATATCCCACTTCTCAGGAGTTGTGACAATGATCTGAGTTTCTTCAATTTGCTGGCGAGTGAGGGACTGGTCACCACTGAGCTCCTTCACCTTCACACCATAGTCCTGCAAACGATGAGACAAGTTTCCAACAACTTCAGCAACAAGAGCTTTCATCGGCGCAACATACACAATCTTGTAATCATTGTGGTTAATCGAACCATCCTCCCTAGTCATGTGCAATCCAATCTGCTGAAGTATTGTGAGCACGGCAACATTTGTTTTGCCAGCCCCAGTGGGAGCACACAAAAGTATGTTGTCTGCCTTAAAAAGGGCAGTCTCATACACCTTACTTTGTACCCTGTTCAACTGGGTCATACCCTTGAAAGCGGGTTGCGCCCACTCAGGCATGGCGGATATTTTAATAAGTTTCTCGTCCGGATCAAATGCTTTTGGCTTCAATGCGGGCACGTGAATTTCTTCGTACCCTTTGCTGGCACGTCTAAAAGATCCATCGGGAAGGATGCACTTATGATTAGAAGCAAGCCGACCGTGTTGAAGGGCAAGGCTGTCGAGATCGAGGAGCTGCAATGAGCCCTTCAACCACCCACTCTCCGAATCTCTATCACCACCAACTCCCCTCCTGCCTCTGTCACCGTCTCCACCACTCTCGTCCTTTAACCTCCGAGCCTCTTCTCTAATGCTTTTCTCCAAGTTCTTTTGCCTCTCTTTCGCAGTCGCCCTTGTGGCGTGCAACTGATCCACAATCGCAGCCAACTCAGGACCCAAATGCACCATTTCCTCCTCGATTTTCTCCCTCTCCTTTTGATCCTCTGCCCTCGCCAGACGGGTGCACCAAACAACCTTCAGCCGGTTTCGCAGCAGAAACTTAATGAGGCTGAATTTTTCAAACTGCAGGTGCAACAGCAGCTTGTTCTCAACGTCCCTGTCATCGCTGCCTTCAGCGAGAATCTTAAGCACATCTTTAGCAAGCTCCTGGCAGTGCAGCGGTTCAATCCGCTGCTCATAAGCCTGAGAAATCTTCCTCTGCAGCCAATAAGCATCAATGTCCTGAACATTAAGGCTCATTCCCTCGTTCGCCTCCTGCATATCATCGTCGTCAATCCTACCTCCCATTTGCATTCCCCCCGATCCATTCGCCTCCGCCAAATCATCTTCATCCTCCTCGTCCTCTTGGACCATATCAAGATCACTCTCTTCCTCCTCATCCTCATTTTCCTCAAACTCAACCGCCACACCCACATCATCATCCAGCCCATCATCCCCGGTCCCCGCCGCCGCAGCCGAACCAGCAGCATCCCCACTGCCGTCCTGATAATCAGTGATAAGCCTCCCAATAGAAACCAACTTATCAAAATCCGAGTTGGAAATCGTGTTCAACAGCTTCTCAATCTCCTTCTTCTTATCGGGATTCTTCAAAGCGTCATTCTTAAGCACCACGAGGATCTCATCCGCTGCCCCGCTCACAACGTTGAGTGGCTGGCCACCAAGCTGATGCTGAATGACGCTGAGCATGGCCTCGTAAGCAGCACGAGTTTCCTTGGTCTTCGGCTGGTAAACTCCCTCCTCCGTGGAGGTGAGGACACTCTCCTCCTGAACCCGCCGCCTCTTCGCCTGGCGAACCGGGGCCGCGGCGGCGGGCTCCGAAAGCGGGTCCCGCTCCTTCTTCTTCTTCGACTTTTTGAGCTTTTCGTCCAGCTCCGGTGGCCTCCCTCGGTAAGCCCGGTCGCCGAAGTGCTTGGGATCGATTTTGCCCCAGAGGGATTCCGGCTCGCCGGTGGGCTCGTGGGTGTCGCGAGGCCGAGAGTCGGTGGTCAGGACAAGACTCGAGTTGGCCCGGTACTCGTATTGCTTGAATCGGGCGTGCGCCTCCGCGCCGCCGCCCAGGTGCGCCATTTTTTTAAGCTCTCAGAAACCCTAATAATTCACCAAAACAATGACAATAATGAGATAGAAAAAATTGTTGGCTCCAGCAACAACAGAAATTCCATGGAAAAACGAAACGAAAATTAGTACAATAGGAAAATCGTAAAAAGCGAAAAAAATCATAAACCCTAGGTTTTGAAATGGGGAAGAAAAGTAAGCGAAAACGATAAACCCTAGAATTGGAGCTAAAGAGTAGAAACGAGATTGAAAAGGAGAAAAAAAAAATCGTTAGAAAGTTTACTCTCTTAAGAAGAGGATTTCTTCTTCTTGTTGTTCTTTCTGAAGAATGATAGTAATGAAGATTTGAAGGGGAAAGAG